ACAAATTTTTAGTTGTTTGAATGTTTACGATTCTTGCCTTATTGATTAGACCGTTGTGTGGCACCATAGAGATCGAACTATTGCTCACTATATATCTATGTAGAATATCAAATGTAAACTGTAATAAATGGACACATTATTATCTGCCAGTGCGTGGAAGAAAAAAAAATGATATTACATTGTAGAGAGCAAGATAAGATAATTTTCATCATATATATGTTACATTGTTGTCTGCATCTCGCCCTAGTCATCCTTACAATGTCTTCGTCGACAACATGTCTTCTCTTTATTTTGCTCTACTTTGATATCACATACATAACAATTATCAATAGCCGCTCAATTTATCAAGATACTGTGGAACAAATGGTGGATAGTCTCATAAGTGATGATAATGACCAACATCTAGCAGCTACTCTTGTTGCTTATCGCCATCGTTTCCAACAGTCAAAGACTTACAAAGCTCTACAATGGTCACAAAAGAGTCAAATCGAACCACCTGTTTGTGAATTATGCGATATGGCCGTACCTCTCGTTAGTTGATTCTTCTTTCAGAGCCAATTTTTTTGTGAATGCATATGTATTCTATAGGCTCGTTTGTTTATCGAACTCGGTGAGACCGACGAATTGGAAAAGTTACTAACTAGCTTTTGTGTAGACTTTAAACTTTTCGATAAAGATATTTGTCTTGGCGCTATACATGAATACAAGGTGAGTCGATATTGTTCTTATTTTATCATTTCATTAAAAATTTTTCTTCTCATTCTCTAATAGAATGTAGTGATCGAAGTACTTACTAAATCACGTCTTACCAACAAGCAACTATGTGCAATTACTTTTGGCTGTGAGAAGCAATCGGATTTTCCTGTATTCAGTTGGAATGTCACATTTCCCGATAAACCAAAACCACCTCCTCGGCCACCACAACCTCCTGCGGTGAGTGTGTCTTAGATCGTGAATACTGAAAAAAAATAAAGTAAAAATATCTCGATTTCTCTTTGTGTCATTTTAGCCAGGATCACCCAAATTGAGTGTTCTTCATCTATCGGATATTCACGTCGATTTTGGCTACAAACCAGGGTCTATGGTAGCGTGTTTAGCGCCATTATGCTGCCGAGACGGTCAACCTGGTTAGTATTTTGTGTGTTTATCTAACTATGAAAACGGACTGTATTCTGTATTTTCATAGCTCCTGATGATACAGGTGCTGGTTTCTGGTAAGTTTTCTCAATAGGAAACGAAATAGGTGGTTGTGTGAGAAACCTCGACTCTTATATAACTTGGAATTAGCAGCTTCTCCTCTTGCTTTTGTCACATTCTATAAAACTCTGCACCACATGTTTGTCATTTAGGGGTGATTATGGTCATTGTGACCTACCACCTTGGACAGCCAAAGCCATATTACAATATGTCGCTGAAGTAGAAAAGGCTACAGGATAAAATTTGCGTGAATTTATTCATTGCATCAGGCAATTTTTCCATCTTTTTCAGGTCGATTTTATCTACTACACGGGCGATTTGCCACCACACAATGTGTGGAATCAGTCTCGTGCAGATCAAATCTATTCAATCAATACTATCAATCAGTGGTTAGCTATTCTTTTTCCCAATAAGACATTCTATTCAGCTGTCGGCAACCATGAAGCAGGTATAATTTTTAATTCTCTCTGTCGTTGTCTTTCCTATATGTGTTTCTGTGCTGCTAAGCACCTTGTAATCTTTATCCAACACCAAATATCCGATCAGACAATATCTCGTGGTTGTATGAAGTATTGGCGGACAGTTGGATAAAACTGGGCTTACCCGTTGATACACGTGACAGTATTCTACGTGGAGCTTTTTACACGACAATCATAAGACCTGGTCTTCGACTGGTATCACTCAACATGAACTATTGTCCGAAGGAAAACTATTGGTTATATATTAATTCGACTGATCCACTTGATCAACTTCAATGGGTGAGGTTTTTGGATTTAATATGTGAAAACATATTAAAACAAAAGAAAGATTTTTCTAGTTGATTCATTGGTTACAATATGCTGAAGATCACAATGAAAAAGTTCATATTATTGGACATCATCCACCACAAGATTGTTTAGTTGCATTTAGTTGGAACTTTCACAAAATTATCAATCGGTATGATGCTCAAAATTAATTTTGTTATCTTACCAAGAGAAAACTTCTTTTTGCATTAGATACGAAAATACAATTGCTGGCCAATTTTATGGTCATAGGCACAACGATGAGTTTGCTGTAGTCTATGATGAAGTCGACCCAAAACGACCTGTCTCAATGGTATGATATATCTTTTTTGATAATATTACAATGAATCTTGTTTTTCTCGAATCGGTTATAGATGTACATAGGACCATCGCTTACAACTGAATCCTTCTTAAATCCAGGTTATCGTGTATTTTCAATCGATGGTGACTATTCAGGCAGTTCATATTGGGTACTCGATCATCGTACAGTGATTATGAATTTGACTGCATCAAACATATACAATCAAACAATTTTTGTCGATGAATACAGTGCTCGAGGTGCATATCAAATGGAGAATTTGTTTCCTGAAGATTGGAACGATCTAATTGAAAGAATGCAAAATGATATAGATGGTCCACTCATGAGTACAGTATACACACACTATACAAAATCATATGAAAGCGGAAGCAAATGCTATCACAATTGTCGTCGAGAATTGTTGTGTAGTTTTAAAACGACTCGATCTGAAGATCCTCATGCATGTGACTAAGTTTCACTTAATTGTTAAATAATGCGTTATTAACCGATGCGATTTCACTGTAATAATAAAATAAAAAAATTTCGTACAAGATATTTATGCAATTGTATGTTTATTGATTAGAGTAACTAGTCCTTAGTTGCAAAGAAACTCTAATAACTACTTTCAAAGGGTGTGGGTGTGGGGTGTCGGTGTGGGGTGTGGGTGTGGCTGTGGGTGTGGAGGTGGGGTATGGTGGTGGGTAGGTTGTGGTG